AAGTGAAAATATTGATTTTTGGAGATGTACGTTCTTTGGATTTACCTTCTTTGGTATTACGAAACGAAAGCTCTATCGATCCAAGCAAAACATGTATATGTTGCCTCCCACAATAAAAAATCTCACTTGTCATGTTTTAATTGTTTGGGCTGGCAGCATTGCCGGCGTTCACAACAGCTGTTCACTTTTCTGAAGGAAATCGTTGGGCGCAGATAACGCTTTTTTTTCTGAGATTTGCTAAAAAATTGAACGCAATTTGTTTTTCCGGCTCTTATAGTATTTAAAATTTTTTTGTATAGCTAAAGAATTTAATTTCAAAATTTTCGGTCATCTAAAATGTATCTTACTAAACTGAATTACGTTGTTCCCCGACTGGTTCCACTGGTGCTGCGGTCAACGCAGAGTACAACTCGCGCTATTAGCACCACCATAGCAAAGCCAGAAATATTTCAGGTGCAAAGTGCTGAAGATTTCGAAAGTAAAGTTAAAAAGAGTGACAAGCCAGTAATAGTGGATTTTTTTGCAACGTAAGTATAAACGAATTTCATTATTATATAACCTAGAATCATTTTATCATTTCATCTTGTGAAATAGATGGTGCAACCCATGTAAAATGTTGACTCCACGTATTGAAACGGTCGTTGGTGAGAAAGCTGGTGCAATAAATTTGGCTAAAGTAGACATTGATGAGCACAGTGATTTGGCACTTGATTATGATGTTGGCGCTGTACCAGTCTTGCTGGTAATGAAGGAAGGCAAAGTGATAAATCGTATGGTCGGTTTGCAGGATACCGACAAGATTCGCGCGTGGATTGATAAAGCCGTGGAAGAAGCCAAATAATTTGAGAACAACGGTTGAAGGACATTGGTGTACAAGTTTGTGGTTCCATCCCCCCCAAAGAACAGTGTTTGCAATTGAATAAAAAAAATATCTGAGATTCGAGTATTGCCGATTACGTTGAAACTTGTTAAATATAAATTAAATTAATGCGCTTTATTAACGGAATTTTTACAAAATTTAGTTTGTAATGGCGGCACATTATCCGCAAACCTTTTGATATTTGAAGATGAAGGCGCTTAGACGAACCTCGGCACCGGACTGGTAATGTATAACAGACACTTTTCGTACAAAAGAATGCATTTTTTGGTGCGGTTCACATTTCTACTATATTTATGCTTATTAAACTAAATAGAGTACCACCCGGGTGTTCCGGGACGTTTTTTATTGCGGTCGAGGAAGCGCTTGAAACCTTGTTTCGAGTCATCCAAAGATTTTTCTTCTGCCTTCTTTTGCTCCTCTTTCTTTTCAAACAAATCCGGGAATGTGAACTCTTCGTTTCTGGGCTGAATAAGAAATAATGTATAAGATACGGCTTAAAACATGTGTGCGCATTGAAATACTCACTAGAGTTACATAAGCAATCTTAACGTCGTCTCCCTTGGTCACATAGCCATGTACTTGATCGCGTCTCGTTTTTCCCAATTCAATACGTGTGCGTACGTCCACAACTGGTAATTTATAAATTTTCTCCAGATAATTTTGTACATCATATTTGGTCATCTGCATGGACACTGAAAAGGTGGCGACGTTCTTTGGCTGTTCCTCCGCTGGCCGAATCAATTTCATCCAGAAGTTTGGCAGGAATATACGTAACTGTGGGTTACCGCGTTGATAAATAGGATACCAACGCGTAGACATTTTTAAATATTCTATCAATTAATTAAGCAAAAATAAATTAATATAAATCCCTACCGGGAGCGGTTGGACAATTTATAGGATTTTTGACAGCTCAATTCGCGCGCCATCTGCTGGCGAACCGTACAAATTGAAAGCCAAGGAAATGCCTATAACATAAAAAACGAACAGAGCTAAATTTGTTTATTTACGTTTTGCGATAAGAAGAGAACCGGCGAATCGCCTTGATGTGTCTAAATCTAATTATTTCTTAATTAAGCCTTGATACCTAAAGGATAAGGATAATCTACTCATAAAATATGTAAGTACATTTAGCAATTAGTTTTTATCAATACCCTGTGTTTTGTGTATCTTTCTATAAAAGCAGTGCAGCACGTGGTTGCTTCTATCAGCTGTTCAAAAGATTAATTGACAATTAGGTGTTTTGGAAGAGTTCATCCAAAATGGCCAAGATTGTAAAGAAGAAATCAAAATCCAAGCCCAATAAAAAACTTACACGAAAGGAACTGCGTAAGCAAAAGCTGGTAATCAAGAAAGAAAACAAGAGATTGTTCTTCTCGAATAAAACAAAAGGTGCTACCTTAGTGGCAGAAGCAAAGATAACCGCGACCAATGCCCAGCATTCGAGGAAGGCAAAGAAGACCAAACCAAAAAAGTCTAACAAAAATGTAACACCGGAAGATATACCAATAGAAGAATTACTCTCGGGAAAAGTAGATTCAGATAACGATGAGTCTATCGCCTCAGATTTCTCCGACGATGAAGTGGACGCGCGTTTACCAGCGAAAGTAGCGAAACGTGAACCGCCACCACACGAAGTAAAAGGAAAGAAGAAAAAGCAGCAGCAACCCACACGTCCCGATCCGGAAGAGCAGCGTAAACGCGTGTTGAAGCAGCAAAAAGATTTGGAAAATGTTGCACGGAAGCAACGCATGAAGCAGCTTAAGCTGGAAAATGAGGAAGAGGATCGATTAATATCGAAATTAGAAAAAAAGCTAAAACTCAACAAAACGAAAGACAAAAATCGTTTGGTACGCAAAATGTTTAGCGATGGCTTGGATTATGCGTTGGAATTCTGTTTGGATGATGAAGAAGAGAAACGTAAACGTGAATAAAAGAAAAACGAAAAGAGGAGCACCAAAGGCAGCATGATAGTGGTTGGAGTGATGAAGAGGAGTTTGGGCTTGAAGATGGCGAGGATGAGGACTCTGGGGTGTAGGCACGGAATGCTGATGAAGAGCAGAGTGAAGGCGAAATTGAAAGTGCATACAGTGATGAAGGCAGCGAAGGGGAAGAACGCGAGCGGCAGATTGAAAATCAACGGAAGAGCAGTGTAAGTAGTATAACTTATTACTAACCAAATGTACAAAAACAAATGCTTGTTTAAAATTTCTGCAGTTAAGGAAGATATTTATGGCAGAAAGCGAGATAAAGAAGGCAACATTATAACAGAAGATACTGCCGATGAAAAACTCTGCTACAGATGCTCAGCAGCCCAAAATATACATACCACCTCATCAACGTGCTTCACTTGCAGCCACACAAAATGACAGTAAACAAACGCAAATTTTGGAGCGGTTGCGCAAAAACTGCAAGGGTTTGCTAATCGTCTTTCGGAAACTAATCTCACAAAATTGCAACAGGCATTGAGGAATTATATATGAAGAATTCTCGCAACAACATAAATGAAACGCTAGCCGCGGCGTGCTGCGTGAGGCTTTAATTGGCCGTACTATGGCCAATGAGCGCATGGTGCAGGAGCATATGGTGTTATTGGCTTATCTCATGCGCAAGTTGGCAATGAAATTCGGAGCACATTTCTTGCAAATGTTTGTAGAACAATTCGATGCATATATAAAGGAGATCTTTACCTACCAGTGGAGGATAAGCGTTTAAATAATTTGGTTTTAATACTAGCATATATATATATTTTTAAAATATATGAGCATCGCCTGCTATTGGAGATCATCGGCCGACTGTCTGATAATTTGTGCGAGAAATCAATCGAATGCCTGCTACTTATATTTCAATCTGTTGGTTCAAGTTGCGAAAAGATGATCCACTAGCCTTCAAAGAGATGATGTTAAGTGTTCAGCGTAAAATTGCTGAAGCGCCTTTGGAGTTAAAGGAGAATTTGCGCCTAAAGTTCATGGTTGATATACTTAATGCGGTTAAGAATAACAATATCAATAAAATTCCGCAATTCGATCCTGAACTGGCGGAAAATCTGCGCAAACGATTAAGAAGCAATGCTGCGCAATGACAAATACGTTACGACACTCAATATAACTATCGACGATTTGCTTCGTGCTGATCAGGTGGGCAAGTGGTGGGTGGTTGGTTCTGCGTGGAGTGGAAATATTGATGACATCAATGCTGCTACGAAACAAAAAAAGGATGATGGTACAGTGGCTGGTCAGCGTTTTTCAGAAAAACTCTTGAAAGTTAGCAAAGCAGCAGAAAATGAATACTGAAGAGCGCCGAAATATATTTTGCATTATAATGGGCGCGGAAGACTACGTCGATGCTTTTGAGAAGATATTGCATTTGGCGTTGAAGGATCAACGCAGTATTGCTTATGTGATTATCCATTGTTGTTTGAATGAGAAACGATCCAATCCTTACTATGCCCACTTGGCGACTAAAATTCTGTCATTATAATCGCAAGTATCAATTAGCATTCCAGTTTGCTACGTGGGATCGCATTAACGATATTGACTCGTTGAATAAGATACAGGTGAAAAATCTAGCAAAATTCTTACAGCATCTTATTTTAAATGGTGGACTGCAGCTGACGGTGCTCAAAGTAGTAAACTTCCTGCAGCTAGATAAATTAAGTTTCCTCTTCATGAAGGAAATGATGGTTGGTTTATTGTTGAACGAGCGCGATAATGAAATCTATCAGGCATTTGAACGCGTTGCGAAAAACTCAAAGCTTGGGCAGTTTAAAAATAGCGTACGGTTGTTCATACAACACTTTTTGCTGCAGAATGAGAGTAAATTAAAACTCGAGGAGGAGCAAATGACGATATTGAAGAAGCGCGCAGATTATGTAGATAGTATACTGGCCTATGTAGACTTATAGCTATAAATTTTTAATGTAATAAAATAAAAGATTTTATTAATAATTAAAATTGTTAGCTTCGCAGAACAAAATATTAAGGCAGGTTCTGCAATTCACTTCGAGTGAATTTAAAAAAACTCGCTGTGAACTCAAATTTTCATCAGGCATTAAAAATCACTCGGAAGTGAATTGCAGAACATGCCTGATTTACTTTTACAATAAAATATATATCAATATATATTTTTTCAACATAAATCTTTAAAACTATTTACATGCTAGTGCCTAGTACAATGCCTTTTCCAGTTCCTTAGTCGAAGCTCTGTAACAAATCTCGTGCACGCTGATAACGCGAAGAATCAATGATAACTTTGTGTTCTTCATCGCTGCTCTGTTCGGCGCATTGCTTGTCGAGTTCTTCAATGCATTGCTCAGCCAATTTGATTATTTGTGCCTTAGCAGCTCCTTTTGAGCCTGACAAGTACTCTAGTGCAATTGGCCACATCTCTGCGCAAATTTTTTCCTCATCAAAAACAGTTTGCTGTATAGAAATCTGTCGCAACTTTTCAAATTTCCACTCAGCACGTGAATTTTTCCATTTACGCAGGTACTCTTCGTTACGAAAACGCTCTTTGCTGATCGTTTGATCCTTCATTGATTCGATGCGCTCCTGGTGCTTTTGTTTTTTCTTTTGACGTACGGTTACGACGGCAATTACATTTTCTGGCTTTTCACTTTCCCGCAACTCTTCCAATGTGGGTTCATGTGCCTCCTCTTCAGCATAATCCTCCATGGGGGCTTGCCCATCTTGTGTAGTAGCTGTGTGCTTGCTACGTTTCTCTTTAATTACACCTTTTTCTTTATTTTTTCGCTTTAATCCTTTTCCTAAAGTCTCTGTGAAAAGCGAACCGAATTAATGCAACAACAACAACAACAATGCAAGTAATTAATTAAGTACTTTGTTTCCTACCTTCAACTGCAGTTCCTTCCAGTGATTCCACAATCAAGCTCTTGCTGGCAATTTCTTCGTCATTTTCCTTCGCTACATGTTTTCGCTTCTTAGCTTTGATTTTATGCTGCGATGCGACCGACTTTTGCTCGGTTTTGATTTCTTTTTTTGCCATTATTTTTGGTATTTATTTTTTATAATTTATTTATAAACATTTCCTTCGAACTTCATTGCAATTGCACGTGCTGCTTCTTCTTGCGTTTCTATAGTTCACAATTCAATTCGAGCTCGTTCACAATGGCTGAAGGCTAATTGCAGTGACCAGCGTTGCCAAACGCTTTCGCTGAAAAACCATCAACTTCCAAGTAAATCGTAGTTTCGACCAAAAAACATCAAATTTTTGTTTATTAATCTTTTTTAACAATAAAAACAAACAAAAATATATGTATAAATTACTTTTAATAAACATGACCACACATTAGAAAGACAAATGGAACCCACATTGCATAAGGGTTAATAAAAGTAGATTTATAATTTTTAAAGAAAATTTCAAATTACAATTTAAATCTTAATTGCTTTTCAATTGTTGATCTCCACTAATTTGAAATTTTTTGAAGATTTTGATGCGGTTTTAATGTGAAACATAAGCATTTATTAATTGATAGATAATCTTTACTGAACCAATTCCCCGTGCTATTTTTCTATATCTTTGAAATGAGTTTCAGCAGTGCAAATTAACGATTTGGTTACAATTCTAGATAATTGCATGGTTGTATTTTGGATTACCTTTTCTTTAACAAATTTCAATTGTCATTACGAAGGAAAAATCATCAAAACGCCATTGAGCTAAAAAAGCCTCAAAATAACGACGAATCGTCGATTCGGCAACGCTGGCAGTGAGTCGTGTGAAATGTGAAAGCTCTGCCCCTCAGTGATGCCAGATTAGCGATACCATTGAAAAACAAATGTTTACCAAAACTTTTCAGAGAGCAAAGTACATAAATCTACATAGACTGTAGGCAATTACTCTAGTCGATTTGCGTTGAATGACAAAAAATGACTAGAAAATTGACCCGTGTAAAGGCAGCTTCAATAATCTACAAGAGCAAGAACATAAAACCAGCTGTCGGGCCCAGAGGTTGCTTTATTAACCTCTGGAATTCGTCCGTCAATTCGTATGTGAATTGGCGATGGCTCCGCTGCGATTTGCAAATTGATTGCGGACTGTTGTGTTATGCTTCCTGACGGTGAGCATTTTGAGCCTCGTCGTGTGGTTCGTGTTGGTGTCCGCAGGCATATGTCTAGAAGATCCACTGCATCCTTCTAGCCCCGGGCGATCACATGGACCCTAAATAGTTTAGAACCAGAAGGCCAATGGCTTTGTATAGCACAGACCGCTCTATTGCCTTACATGTAATTTTTGTTGAAAAATATCCCTCCATTAAGAAAGTTACTTATAATCTGGCATCACTACTCTCAGGGTTTTGTTTCCATTTCATAATCAAAACAAAACACAAAACATAAATTACGAATGACAGCAGAAAAGATGCCTGGAAAACTTAAAAAGTGTTGTTGTTATTAGTTGTGTTCTTTTACAAATTATCCAGTAACTTGCCAGTAACTCTCCAGTAACTGAATTTCTGAGAATTCGCTCTCATAGCACAAAAGTACAAGAACGCAAAACCAGTAATAATTTGCAAGTTTTACGAACAGCTGATTAATTTGTTGTTTATTCGCAGCTAGTTGCTAATAAGACAATGTATATTATGTTTAAATAGGTTTATTTTGTCAATTTCAACTATAAAAACCTCATAAACATATATTTTATTAGTTTCAATTCCACCCAACAACATGCGATCAGCTGGTTTTCTCGCTTGCAAGTTCTTACTAGCAAAAATTTATCCAGTAAAAACT